GAAGTAGGACTTTTAAACTGGAAAGCCTGAGGACTACTTTCTAAATGTTCTAACTAAAGCTAAAATGACAGTGATTTAGGGTAAAAGGAGATGGGATACACAGCAGCTGTGAGAATCTGTGTTTAGCACCCATGAATAGCACCGGTCTTTATTATTTAAGTGACTTCATTTTTTTTTTTTTTTTTGGAGAGATTTTCGCTATAGGGCGCGTGCGCTCGCCAGACAGAGAGAGACATAGAGACAGAAAGCGAGAAATCACCCCCCAGGGGGGATGGTCACGCCGCAATCCCTTCTCCTCCATTCTCCTCTCAGGATCTTGGGCACGCACGCACACGCGCCCGGCGTGAGATTTAAGCCACCGGGTCCGGTACGCGAACCGCGGTCGACTACGTGGGAATCCAGCGACATAGCCATTACGCTAACTGCTGGTTCCCTAAGTGACTTCATTTTTAAGTCAGATCTGTACACAGGTTATTACAAGGACTCAGTTCATCCCCAGAGCCAAAACTAAGGACGTTAATGGTGGGTACTACCTTTGTAAAGCATTAAATCACAAGCAGTTGCCTGCATTACCAAATCATCTAGTTATGGAGTTTAGAATTTTTATTTTGTTATCAATTTCTACTATAAAGAGCTAGTGTCTTCCTGAGTGCATCATATTTGGGTTTTTGTTGTTGTTTTTCGTTTTTATAAAAATAATTATTTAATTTCATTTATTATTATTATTATTTTCTTGAGAGACTTTTGCTGTAGAGTGCATGTGCTCACTAGAGACAGAAAGTGAGAAACCACATCCAGGGGGGATGGCCACACCACAATCCCTTCTCCTCCATGCTCTTCAGATTGTGGGCACATACACACACATGCCTGGTGTGAGTTTTAAGCTGCTGGGTCTGAAGCTTGACCGCAGTCAACTATGAGGACGTCCAGCAATATAACTATTCTGCCATCTGCTGGTCCCATATTTATTATTATTTCTTATTATTTCTTGGCCAGAGAGAAACAGAGAAGAGGGGAGTGAGAAAGCAAACCTCCAGATCTAGGACTCAAACCACAATCGACCATGTGGGAGTCCAGCAGCTCAACCCCCATGCCACCTGCCAACCATGAGTGTATTATATTTGAATTTGTAGTGTAAGGTATTTCTGGATTCGAGAAATCATTGATTCTTTTATTAAGAGGAAGAGAGAACAGCAGCACATAGATTCAGACTGAAGACAAAAAGAAGCAGTACAGAACTGCTTTGTGTACTAACTAAATAATTCCAGGGCTTGACATGAATAGAACTTGCTTTAATATCTCAGCCCTGTTGTACATAGATCCCGTTACGCAAATACAGAATTTAGAATGGTTAATAGTCCCCACCGTGTCACTAAAAACTATATCAGTAAATATTTCTATCCCTAATTGCTGTGCAGATTTGCCTAGTCTTTGTCATTTTTATATTCACTGACACAGCTTGTTTGGTTGATTGAATTGGAAATAGTAATTATTTGGGGGGAAAAATCGTGAGCAGCCGTCTAAAGTAGAAAAGAATATACTAGGTCAGTGTTTGGCCTTGCGACTTTATTTTCGGGATGATTGCTCTACCCTACCTGCGTTTCCTGTTGGAATTTCATAAATCAGTTATTTTACATGGGCAAGTTTTTACTGGTTATTTTCTATCATTTTTCTGGCACTGTTCATCTTTTTGTCATAGTTGTACTGTTGCTCTCTTGGTTTCAGTTTGTTGATTTCTTGCTCCCCCTGTCTGCTGGCTTTGTAGTTACTGGCTTACAAACTGAATTATAAATGTGAAAACTGGCAAACAGTAAAATAGTCATGCCTGTGACTAAGGGTGAAAGGTAGAGCGAGCACAGAATTTTGACTAGCCGTGTGTCATCTGAGCAGTATGCCTTGGGAGATAGTGTGCTCCAGCAAGATAAGTGGATATAAACATCAGGTCATTGATGACGCATTTTTGCATAGAAAACCAGAAAAGTGCGTCATGACTTTCCCAACGACCTAATATAATAAATATATTATTTGTCAAATTATCAAATATCTATATTATCCTGGGTTTTCTTTTTGATCATAAACCTGTTTTTTAAAAAAGTTCAAGACTCTGTCTCGGATCCAGTGTAAAGATGTGAAGAGTTTGAGGGAAAGGTTGTTCTTACATAAAACAAGATCTTCAATACTACCAGCAACCAAGGAAAGGGAAAGGGGAAGTTCAGCTGTTGAAAGAAGACAGTGCAGACAAAGGTCAGCAAGGGTGGAAGAAACCAAAGATAAAGAGATCAAATCATTAGATTTTAAGATATAAACTGAATGGCAAGAGCTATATCTTTGTACATTCCATGACTTTGAGTATTACTCAATACATACTATTATTGAGTGAGCAGTGGTTTGACTTCTACCAGCCACTTACATCTACATACATTTTAGTGTCTGCAGCTCCCTCACCTCTTACTTCCTGTAAGATATCAAATCTGAATCATGTCATTCATCTCCCCTTCTTTCCATTTTCATACCACTGCTATGCTTCAAGACATTATCATCTTTGCTTCCTAAATGATTTTACCACTTTTCTTTAAAAGTTTTGACTCCACACAACTATCCAGATTATTGGTGTGAAACACAGATGTGACCATGAGACTCTGGGTTTTTTTTTGTTTTGTTTTTGGTTGTTGTTTTTTTTTTTTTTTTTTTGTGTTTTTTTTTTTTTTTTTTTTTTTTTTTTTTTTTTTTTTTTTTGAGAGGTTTTTGCTGTAGAGCGCGTGTGCTCGCCAGACAGAGAGAGATAGAAAGCAAGAAATCACCCCCAGGGGGGATGGCCACGCCGCAATCCCTTCTCCATTCTCCTCTCGGGATCTTGGGCACGTACGCACATGCACCCGGCGTGAGTTTTAAGCCACCGGGTCCGGGATGCGAACTGCAGTCGACTACGTGGGAGTCCAGCGACATAGCCATTACGCTAACTGCTGGTCTCTGAGACTCTGGTTTAAAAGCCTACAATAGCACTTCATTATAGTCAGAAGTCTAAACTCTGGCACGGCATTCAAGATTTTTTACAATCATATCTCATCTGACTTCTTTTTAACCTGCTATACTACCATTCCCTTCTAACATGCTAACATACTGTAGTACTCCCGGTTCTCCCTACAACCTGCTGGATATTAGTTTTTGTTTAAGGTATTTCTTTAACCATCTTGCAGATTTAGGTCCTGTAAGTGTCAACCAGAATATGCCTTCTTTTTCTGAAGTTTTCCTTACTCTAGTCCTCTTAATCTCTAGCAGAATGAATGGTTCCTTTTTCTGTGCTTCTATTACAGTTTGTGTATACTTCCTGTTAAACTCCTTTTCTGGGCCAGCCCCATAGCACAGCAGTTAAGTAATATGCGGGAGAAGCCAGATTCCACATGGCCAACTAGGATTTGAGTCCTACCCAGCCTAAGTGACTTGATAAACACACCAGGTTCCACGTACCTACCTAGGATCCTGATGGAATGAAGAGTTTAGGAAACAGGATGTGGCATGACTAGGCCTGTTGGGGGGTATGTTGTCTGTCTGTCCATCTGTCCCTCTTTCTCTCTCCCAGGCATGCAGCCTCTGGCATTAAATAATAATAATAATAATAATAATAATAATAATAAATTTTTCACCTAGTAGATCATTTTGACAATAGATTGATTCCTGCAGATGCTGGTTTGTCCTGTTGTTTATCATTTGTTTAGGGATTTTTATTGCCTGGCAATAAAAAGTGCTGTGCACATCATGTTCTTTAACCTTCACAACAGCCAATAAGGTGATATCATTAGTATATCGCCCACATTTTACATATAAGCAAACTAAGCTAAAAAGGCTTCACAGTTGGTACACGGCAAAACTTAAACCCTAACCTGGACTGACCTAACTCCTAAAGTACACACTGTTAACCATTTTGCTATATTTCTTTCTCCACACCGTGTATCCTCTGTGCCTACTCATCTAGCTAACTCTGTAAGTGCTTATTGACTGAGTGAATAATAACTCCAGTTTACACAGTAGTTTGGGGCAGGCTGGTAACATGGTTTCCATTGAATGTGAGAGTGTACTGTTCATAAAAATAAATGTTTTTTAAAATCTTCAGAGCACACAAAACAATTCAGTATGTTGCTGATTGGGTCTCAGAAATGTTTGAGTTGGAGGAGAAAAGCTTTGGTGTCTAAACATGGCTAGCTTTTTGTAACACGGAATACAGCATAGTACTGCACAACTATAAAACAACTTGAATTGATTTCTAGGAGACTGCTGCCCCCTTACTTCTGTCTTTATTATGAATATTCTCACAAATCCGATCATCTAATTGAACTTTCATTGGCATAACACATTGCAGAGCTAGCTATAATGCATGTAAACTCTGAGATGGAGTACAGTAAATAGAGAAATAAGGGTAGTAAAAATCATTGCAAAAAAAAGTGTTTTTTCAAACTGTATCAACTTGAAAGATGCTTTAAATGCCATGTATTATTAATACTTGTATAAAATATGTGCAAAATCAAATTATGTCTTTTCTTGGGTTGTCTTAAGAGTCAAATAGTAACTCAGAATGTAACATTTAACACTTTTAAATCTTAAGAAATAGCGATTTTAGGTACCAGCAAATGGCGTAATGGTTAACATAACTGGACTCCCACATGCCGACCGCAGTTTGAGTCCCGGACCCGGAGACTTGAAACTCAGACCGGGCACATCTATCTGTGTGCATGGCCAAAATCCCAAGAGGAGAATGGAAGAGAAGGGATTGCAGCGTGGCCATCCCCTCTGTGGGGAGTGATTTCTCACTTTCTGTCACTCTGTCTCTGTCTCTGTCTCTCCTGCAAATGCACAGACCCTACAGCAAAAAGTCTCTGTCCAAAAAAGCAAAAGAAATAGTGAGTTTAATTGATCTTTTTTTGTTACCTGATTGTCCTTATAGGCTTACTAAAATGTAGCAATTTTTAATTTTTTTTAACTTTGCTTTTCTTTTATTTCTCTAGTGTTGTTAATAACAATACTTGTAGTGGAAGGAATTGCTGTGGCCCAAAAGACTCAAGGTAAAGTATTTATACTGATAACTTATTGCATGTTTTGACAGCGGGATAGCTTATCAGAAAGGATTGCAACTTTTGTGTACTATTTTAATCATCTCTATGGGTGTTTTAGTGACCTAAGGCTTTCTGTCAACCTATCAGCCTCTATTTATTGGGTTGAACTGCACTGAAGTGGAGTAAATTGTCAACATAAAGTCTTGCCCTGATAATTTTTAAAAATTAGCATCACTAGTAACTCTCCGTACACTGTGGATTATGTCCAAAAATTAAATGAGATTTATCCTTTATCACTGAGCAAAAATACAATCCCCTTGTCCAACATGAACAAGTGAAACATTTCCATCGTATTTTATTCAAAGCCCTTTGGTACTGTTCTGATTGTCCTGATTTATACAAGAGTAGCTACTGTGATTTTTGAGCTAGATTTTTCATGTCAGAGTTTAGTATATTTCCTGTGTAACCTTATCTATTTTTAATCTTCTCAAAGTTAAACATACATATGATAAAAATCAAAGCATTTTTAAAAATTAATTAGAAAAAAGCAGCCCTCTGACCTACATCAACCCACTTCTTTTGCTCCATAGAAATAGCACTTTTGTTTTTGTTTTGTTTTGTTTTAATTTACTAAGGGCACACGTGCTCACAGGAGACAGAGAGTTGGGGGCCTGGGGTGAGTAAGAAAGCACTTCCTGGGAGGATGACCACATCACAGCTTCTCCTCCTAGTTCTTAAGGGATTTGGGGCCCACACATAGACACAACTGGCATGTTTTCCAGGCTGCCAAGTCCCGGACATGAACTGCACAGCCAGCCATGAGATCCTGCCACCCTAACCACAGGCCACTGGCTAGTCAAGGAATACCACTTTTTTTTTTTTTTTCCCAGAAAAAAAAGTTATTTATTTATTTATTTATTATTGTTATTTTAATTCACCGGGGGAAAGAGAGAGAGGGAGAGAGGGAAAGTGAGAAAGCAAGCCGCCAGGCCTGGTACTCAAACCACAGTCGACCATGTGGGAGTCCACCCTGATCACCACACCACCTGTTGCCCCCAAAATACCACTTTAACAGATGTTTTTTTCTGATAAGTTTTTTGCTATAGGGTGTGTACACTCATCAAAGAGAGAGAGAAAATTAGAAGCTCCCCCCACCCCACCACCAAGGGGCATAACTATACCCAATCCCTTCTCCAATCTCTTCAGGATTTGGGGCACACACACTCGGTGTGATTTTCAAGCCTCCAGGTTCAGGACTTGAACTGTGTAGTCGGTCATGTGGGCTCTAGGGCCTTAACCTCCACACCACCTGCTGACCTAGTAGATTCTTTTGATATTTCTCTTTGTATCTCTAAATAATATGCTATACTGCCACATTTTGACTATTTCAGCTTCAGACATTAGATACTGATTTCTCAAGATAGAAGATGAGAATTTAGCTCCTTCATGCACCCACCGTCCACCTCCCTCCACACAAAAAAAGTTCACTTACTTTCCATTTGTGCCATCTTCTTGATACAGTGATCGTAATTGCGGTTAAGCTAGTATTCAGGATTTGCATTAAGTCACTCATTGAGCTTTTTTTTTTCCTTGAGAAGTTTTTGCTATAGGGCACGTGTGCTTGCCAGAAAGACAGAGCAAGACAGAGAGACAGACAGCGAGAAATCACCCCCCCAGGGGGGTTGGCCACGCTGCAATCCCTCCTCCTCCATTCTCCTCTTAGGATCTTGGACACGCACACACACGTGCCCAGCGTGAGTTTAAGCCACTGGGTCCGAGACTTAAACCGCAGTCGGCTACATGGGAGTTCAGCGACATAGCCATTACGCTAACTGCTGGTCCCACTCATTGAGTTTTTCCAATATGAATTTTGTCTTTGGGTTTATGATTTTTTTTCTTTAAATTGCCTTTCTTTTGTTTTCTCTTGTTTTATATTTTTAGGAATTTCTGTTATTTGGTTGTGGCCCTCTTATTTTTTCATTTTTATCTTTTCTATTTTCCATTTCTCTCTCTCTCTTTTTATTTTTTCGCTTTATTTTCTAGGAGACTTCCTCAATTTTTTCCCCTCAACTATAGATGAGAAAACCTTTTCTGTCTAGAATATGGATAGTTCTTGAGGCTTTTAGGCCATATGGTCTCTAGAACAACCACTTACCTCTTCTGTTGTGCTGTGAAATTCACAGTGATGAATAGGGATCTATTCTGGTAAACATCATCACATTCACAACAGGCATCAGGTCACATTTGGCTGAGGCTATGGTGTGCTGACCTCAGCTTTAAGTTTTTAATGATTTTTTTTTTCATTTCTTCTGTTTTTGAAAGCCTTCTTTTTGTTTTCTGAATAATGTTTTTTAAAGAATACCTTTTGGAGCCAGCAAGTGGTGTAGTGGTTAAGATGCTGGATGCCACATGCCAACTCAGTGATGAGTTCTAGACCCGGTGACTTAAAAAAGACACTAGGTGTGTGTGCATACATGCCCAAAATCCTGAGAGGAGAATGGAGGAAAAGGGATGGTGGTATGGCCATCCCTCTTGGAAAGTGATTTCTCACTTTCTCTGTCTCTCTCTGGCAAGCACTCACCCTGTGGCAAAAATCTAAAAATAAAGGGACCAGGAAATGGCATAATGGTCATGTCACTCGACTCCCATGTAGTTGACTGTGGTTTGAGACCGAGCAGCTTAAACTCACACCAGGCACATGTGAGTGCATGCCTAAGATCCCAAGAGGAGAATGGAGAAGGGATTGCAGTGTGGCCATCCCCCTGGGGGTTTTTCACTTTCTGTCTCTCTGTCTCTCTAACAATCACATGCACCCTATAGCAAAAATTTCTTAAAAAAAGAAAGAAAATCTTTGTTCTTGTTTTATGGATATTTTGCATATCTGTCTCTATAAAGAGATTAAATGATGTGTTTTGAGTTGTTACTGTTATTTAAATTTTTTTATAGTCTTTATTTTCTTAGAGTTGCTTCTTTTCTGTTTGTTTTGGTCTATTTTCGTATATGAGGCTTTCCTCAAAGGCCTGGTGATCCTTGAATGGCTCATATTTCAAGAGGGGAACTAAAAAGCTGATCACTAACTGTTGTAGGTATAGGCAGGGATTTTCTTCTGTGGCCTTCATTGTTTAGTGACCTGACTTAGAAGAACCCCAGAGTCAGCATTGTTGAATCTTTCTTAGGACTGGTTAGACACCCCAGAGAGGAATTTCTCCATTTCCTGCTTAAAGTCTAATCTGACCAAGAGGCCTTGGGTGAATTCAGTGGGAGTCAGGACTGAGAGTATCATTCACTAATCTACCTGTTTTCAGGTAGTGTTTTTACTATAAGTTTTATAGCTATGCCTGCTGTCCTCTATCCCTGTTTTACCTTCTCCAAAGAAATAATCTTGTTTTCTGAAGCAGTATAAGAGCAGCAGCTACTGGGCCAGCAGGTAGCATGGAGGTTAAGGCAGGTGGGTCCCCCATGGCCAACTGCATGGTTCAGGTACCAAATCCAACAACTTGAAACTCATACCAGGGACTAACACACTTGTGTATCTGTGGTCAAAAAATCCTGAGTGGAGAATGGAGGAGAAGGGATTCTGTCATGGCCATCCCCCATGGAAGGGTGATTTCTCACTTTCTCTCTCTAGCAGGCACACATACTTTATAGCATATTTAAAAAAATTTTTTTATAAAAGCAACTGCTTAGATTCCTGGAACAGGGAAAGGTATTAGAAACAAATTGATTTTCAATGGACTTTAACCAAGCTGCTGCTGTTTCTCCTCTTCCTCTTCCTCCCCCTCCTCTTCTCCCTTTCCTTCTTCTCCTCACCCTCCCCTCCTTCACCCAATTTTGCACACCACTTTTCAACCACTTCTTTTTTTAAAAATGAATTATTTATTTAATTCCATGTATTATCATTATTATTTTTTAATTCAGTCAGAGAGAGAAAGGGAAAGCAAGAAAGCAAACTGTCAAGTTCGGGATTCAAACCATGGCTGGTCATGTGGGAGTCCAGCACCTCAAACACTTTGCCACCTGCTAGCCCCTCACCCCACTTCTAATACTATCTGTTGTTGCTATTGTATCTACCTCTTTGGACTTACTGGCTTAAATCCTTGGATGCTTTTTTTTTTTTTTCACATAAAAATTTTTTAGTTTATTAATCCTCTCATGAAAAATCTACACAATCACCGCAGATAGCCATTGCAGAATCTTTACTCCTTTGACTTTTTGCCAGCACCAACATTGGCCTTTGCAGTCCCCCTGACTTTCTTCATTCTGTTCTTGCGTTCCTCTCACTGTTTTCTTGACATCTTTTTCTTCTCATAAAGGCCATGTCTTGCAAGTCTATGTTTGGGTTCATTTTTCTTCGCATAATCCAAAGAATCGTAAATCATGCCAAAGCCAGTTGTCTTGCCACCACCAAAATGGGTTCTGAACCCAAACACAAAGATGACATCTGGTGTGGTCTTGTACATCTTTGCTAGTTTTTCATGAATTTCTGTCTTAGGTACTGTTGCCTTTCTGGGGTGGAGGACATCAATGACCATTTGTTTCCTCTGAAGTAGACGGTTGGTCATGAATTTCCTGGTTCGGATAGTTACTATGTCATTCATGATGGCAATATATCCTCAAGCAGCCAGGGACGAAAAGAGCCCTTGGATGCTTTTTTAAGTGGGGTTGGGGAGAGAGCAGAACTAAATGAATGTATTTAACCCATGGTCTTTAACTACAATCAATCAAATTTTTGAATCTCATTTTTGTGACAAATCAAATATAAAATGATCACAACAGAGATCAACTCCTGGGACCTTTTCCGAATTTTGTTGAGTTTTACTGATACATCAGATTCCCCCACGTGGTTCTTTGCCCTTGTAAAGTATAGACTTTTACTTCCCTATTCTCCTACATGGTAAACTTGTCCCTTAGCAGCAGGTTTTCCTAGCAAGCACAGCATACCTTCTACTTCTGCCATACTCAATTTATTGTGTTAAAGTTGGCAGTGGTTCTTATGAAATTAGGTGTATGTAACATACACTGCAACTGTTTAGAAGCTGTGGGGAAGGGACCAGTGGGTAGCATAGTAGTTAAGTTGCTAGATTTCCACATTGCTGGTCACAATTTGAGTCCCAGACCTGGTGGTTTGAAACTCATGTGTGCCCAGAATCCCAGGAGAAGAATGGAGGAGAAGGGATTGCAGTGTGACCATCCCCCTTGAGGGAAGATTTCTCACTTTCCCTTTCAATGTTTGTCTGTCTCTCTCTGGCTAGTGTTTGCACCTGATGGCAAAAATCTTAAAAAAAAAAAAAAGAAAGTTGTGGGGAAAAGAGACAAATGCTAGTCTGTCTTGCTGTAATTAATTAATGTTTTAAATGCTATTTTTCACTAAGATGGACAAAATATTGGAATGAAGCACATTCCTGCAACCCAGTGTGGTATTTGGGTTCGAACCAGCAATGGAGGTCATTTTGCTTCACCAAATTACCCTGAGTCATATCCACCCAACAAGGAATGTATCTACATTTTGGAAGGTAATTTAACCAATTTCTCTCATCAGATGAATTTTTACTTTAATTTGACCAGAGAGAGAGAGAAAATGAGAAAGCAAGCTGCCAGTTCCAGGATCTAGTGCCTTAACCACCATGTCACCTGCTGGCCCCTCAGTTCATCAGTACTTATAAGAAACTTTTTTGATAAATTTAAACTTACTGGACCAGCCCTGTGGCCTGCTCGTTGAGGCAACTGGATCTGCATGGCCAACAACATGGTTTGAATTCTGGACCAGGTAGCTTGACTAACATGTTGCCAGGCGTATGTGCATGTGTGTGTGCCCCAAATCCCAGTGGAATGGAGAAATAAAGGAAAAGGGATTGCAGCATGACTACACACCTTTGCCCGGGTGTGGTCTCACTTTCCCTCTCTCTGGCAAGCAAAAAGAAGAAACTTATCAGCATCTCTTTTTAGTCTTCACACAAATAGATGCCCACAATAGTAGTTAGTTTTGTTTCTTATGTATTTTTTTCTACCATGGTACTTCGTATTTCATGAACTAAGTAAACATTAGCTTCTTGTCTTTTCAGTTTTAATCAGTCAAGTATATTTAACTGATTTAATAACATATTCCAAAGGGAAAGATTACTATAGTTTTACAGGGTGCCATTAGTATTAATGTGAAGTATAGTATTACTTATGACTTATATACATAACAATTCTAACTATGATCCTCATCTTTGAAGCAGTACAGAGTGATTATCTTGCTTTGATCATTCGTATCAGTGCATTTATATTCTTCCTTGTTTGGATTGCCCTGATTTGCTTACTCTTATTTTCTAGCTGCTCCACGTCAAAGAATAGAGTTGACCTTTGATGAACATTATTATATAGAACCATCATTTGAATGTCGCTTTGATCACTTGGAAGTTCGAGACGGGCCATTCGGTTTCTCTCCTCTTATAGATCGTTACTGTGGCGTAAAAAGCCCTCCATTAATTAGATCAACAGGGAGATTCATGTGGATTAAGTTTAGTTCTGATGAAGAGCTTGAAGGACTGGGATTTCGGGCAAAATATTCCTTTATTCCAGGTAAAGAATAAGTTATCTTTTCATTGACTGGGTATCTGTGTCTGATTTTCAAATCTTACAGTTTAAGAAAGAGCTAATTTTGTCAATGTAACCAAATCAAACTTTAAAGATAGTAAGATCAAGAAATCAGTGCATTAACAAAAAAATTCCTTGAAATGAGAACCTTTGCATTTGAATTTTAAAGCATATCATAGATGGTGTCACTTTTATTCTTAGTTTTTGTTTTGTTTTGTTTTACAGCATACAGTCAAGATCAATAACATTAAAATAAATACACTAAATAATTAAACACGTTGTTTTGTTTTCATAATCCCCCCAGAAATTATTTTGGCTGGTTCTTCCTCATTGGACTAATTGAATTAACCACTTATTTTAATAAATACCTAGAAAATATTGAACAGTAGAAAGAGTACTATTCTGCTCAGAAGTAAAAGATCTGGGTTTGAGTACTCTCTCTCCTAATAGCTATAAGTCTATTAAGGCACAGAGTTGTGCTGGAGATTTGCCATTGGTAAAGGGGGAATACCTGCTACCATCACAAATTTGCTAACTGAAAATAACAGAAATTGGGGCCAGCAGGTGGTGTGGTGGTTAAGGCACTGGACACCCACATGGCCAACCACAGTTTGAGTCCTGGATCTAGCAGCTTTAAAATCACCCAGTGTGTGGGCACATACCCCAAATCCCAAGAGGAGAATGGAGAAGAAGGGATTGTGGTGTGGCCATCCCCCCCTAAGGGGGGGATTTCTCACTTTTTCTCTCACTGTCTCTTTCTGGTGAGCATGCATGCCCTATGGCAAAACCTTTAAAAAAATTAAAAAAAAAACAAACAGTTTTTCTTTTTGGGGTTCTAAAGGCAAATTATTATTATTAATTTTTTTATTAATTATCTCAATTAACTGAAATAGTTGCTTTATTGTCATAAAGGTACTGTTAGAGAATCTTAGACATGAATCAGATCTTCGCAAATAAGTATAGGCTGAAATGAAAAGTAGACATCAGAAACAAAATCTTACTTAAAAATAATGTTTTAAATTTTTTTGAGAATTAGCCACCTTTATTTATAAAAATGCTTACTTTAGAGAAAAGTAGTTATTTTTCCTCTGTTAGTTTTAGATACTAGGAGAACAGCTTTATGTGGCTTATCGTTAAAATATAGAAAGATTATAGAATGCTTAAGATTTCTAGACTTGACTGCCTTTCATTTGCATTTCCTTGTGCATCACAGTTTCTGCATACATTACATTTCATTTTATTGCTGATAGTATTATCAGAAGGGTTATGTAATTTCCCATTCTATAGACAAGGAAACTGAGTCAGAGATTAAGTGCTTCTCTTAGACCATAAGCATAATGACAAACCCAGGACTACCTTCCAGTTGTCTGGGTAACTTTCCTTTTTTTTTTGTCACTTTAGACTGTGCAGCAGTTTATTATTTATTCTGGCAGTTTAGTATATATAGGTCTTATCTATACTTTATTTTTAAGAGAAATTTTTTGCTATATGGCTTATACACTTCCCAGAGAGACAGAAAGTGAGAGATCACCCTCCTGCCCCCTTCACCACCACCCCCAGGAGGGATGGCCATACCTCAGTCCCTTCTCTCCATCCTACTCTCAGGATTTTGGGGTGCACATGCACATGTGCCTGGCATGATTTTCAAGTTGCCAGGACTCAAACCATGGTCAACTACAAGGGAATCTAGTGATATAACCATTAGGCCATCTGCTGGTCCCCCCAATCTGTACTTTTAAATAATTTTTTTAAGACACCTGTGTTTGTGATTTCTAAAAATATTTTTTATGAGGCCAGCAGGTGGTGTGGTGGTTAAGGCACTAGACTCTCACATGGCTGACCATGGTTCGAGTCCCAGATTTGATGGCTTGAAAATTATACTGCGAACATGTGTGTGCCCAAGATCCCAGGAGGAGAATGAAGGAGAAGGGACTGTGGCATGGCCATCCCCCTGGGGATAATTTCTCACTTTCCCTCTCTTTCTCTCTCTTCCTCCCACCACAGTGAGCATACACACTCTATGGCAAAAACCTTAATAAGAAAAAAAGTATTTTGTGTTTAAGTGTATTGATGAGTGGCATTAAGTACATTCACGGTGTTATGCAACGATCGTAATTCTTCATTTAAGCTAAACTTAAAAAAACAGATTTTAATGTAATTCCCCCCAAGTTTTATTCTTTTTAATACTGAATATTATTCCATTGTATTTCATATACTACATTTTGTTTATCCATTCTTCCATCAGTAAGCTAGCTACTACTTTTGACAATTGATGTGAATTTTCAAGTACAATAAATAATTCACTGAAGCGATCAAAAGTATAAACAGTGTCATTAAATAAACGTTGATCCTATAAGTGAGCTCACTAGTCTACACCAGTGAAAACTGCTCTTAACTTGCTCTTAAAGGGATCATTGGATGTAATTTAAGACATTAAGCCTTAAAGTAGCTATCTCAGTGTGAATGACTTTTCTTCTTTTTTCTGTTGCAGATCCAGACTTTACTTACCTAGGAGGTATTTTAAATCCCATCCCAGGTTTAGTATATTACCTCTTTTTCCTTATGGTATTTTTGGTCAATCTTATTTTCCTTTGAACATCATTCATTTATTCTTTCTAGATTGCCAGTTTGAGCTCTCAGGAGCTGATGGAATAGTACGTTCTAGTCAGGTAGAACAAGAAGAAAAAACGAAACCAGGCCAAGCAGTTGATTGCATATGGACAATTAAAGCTACTCCGAAAGCTAAGGTATTATTATGTGTTGAGTCACCTCAGAGGAGGACGTAATAAGACATGATTCATGTAATGTGTTATTTTGAACCATGCAAATATTTATCGATTATGTAAACTGATATTAAAACTTTCTTAAAAATAATTTTATTTCAGTCACTTTACTGAGCACAGTAAGTGCTAAGATCCCAGTTAAATAAACTAAAATATAAATTTTAGGAATATCACATATATATTAGGTTTTTTTTTTTTTTTTTTAATTTGCCAGAGAGCACTTGTACTCACCAGAAAGGGAGAAGAGAGAGAAGAAGCACTCCCCATGGAGAATGGTCACACTACAATCCCTTCTCCATTTCTCCCTCCTTTAGGGATTTTGGGCAAGTTCATGGGCACACATAGCATGTGTTTCAAGCTACTCGATCTAGGACTTAGACTGGGTAGTCGGCCATGTGGGATCCAGCTCCCTCAACCACCAGGCCATGGGCTGGCCCTATATTATGACTCTTTTTTTTTTTTTAATTATTTATTGAACTTTATTTATTCATTTATTTTTAATTTGACCAGAGAGATACACACAGACAGAAAGTGAGAGAGAAGATGAGAAAGCAAGCCGCCAGGTCCAGGACTTGAACCGTGGTCAGCCATGTGGGAGCATCCAGTGCCTTAACCACCACACCACCCACTGGTCTCATGACTCTTAATTTTAAGATTAAGGGACACATCTGCTGACACTGTCAGTATTAGATTTTTATGCAGAGCTGGAAGCCACATGACTGACTGCAAATTCAGATCTCCAGATTGACTTGAAAACATGCCAGGTACATGCCTGTATGCACCAGATGCTGATGAGCCAGAGGGCCAGGAAAGGGCCAAAAGAAACCTTTTGAGTGTGCTTCCCTCTATCTCTTTCTCTTTCTTGCATGCAATCTCCAACGTGGTCTCTGTCATGGATAAAATAAACAAACTTAAAATATATTAAGGAGAGAAGCCCTGTAGCGTAGTGATTAAAGGCTGACCATGGTTCAAATCCAGGCCTTGGCATGAAAAAGACACCAGAAGCCGGTATATGTATTTACACATGCTCATAGAAACGCAGTATATAGATATAAATAACAGATACAGTGTGTGTGAAAGAGGAGGGTCTGAGGAAGGACATTGGGGGAGGGACAGGGAGGCAAAGCGTTAATGGCACAAAGAGGTGTGGTATTATCTGCTGAAGATATTTCGTAGTTTTATCAACAGTACTAGGGAGAAATGTTCACCTGTTGAAATATCCATTTTGTAAGACAAATAATAATGTGATTGAATGTATGGAAGAAAATGAAATGAAAAATAAAAAATAAAAGGAAAAAAATTTTCTCAAAAATATTTTTTAAAATAATCCCAAGAGGATGAAGAAATAGAAGAGAAGGGATTGTAGTGTGACTTACTCTCTCCTCCTCTCTCTGTCTCTGTCTGGCAAGTACACATTTCCCTTGGCAATTAAAAAATATGTATATATGTATGTATTGAGGTGTTTTTGTTTTTGGAGAGGTTTTTGCTATAGGGCACATGTGCTCACCAGAAAGAGAGAGACAGAGAGACAGAAAGTGAGAAATCATCCCCAAGGGGGAATGGCCATGCCACAATCTCTTCTTCAGTCTCCTCTTGGGATCTTGAGCGTGCACGCACATACACACCTGGCATGAGTTTAAGCCACCCGGTCTGGGACTCGAACCACCATCGGCTACATGGGAGTCTAGTGACATAGCCATTATGCCAAGTACTGGTCCCTGTATTGAGGTTCTTAAAACCTGTGTATTAACTGACAAGTGATTGATTGATATCATCATATTGATCAATCTGATCATAGATTCATAAAAACTTTTTGTAAAAGAAAATAAGCTGCAAGAGGTTAAAACATCTTTTCAAAGAATATAGCAATGTAAAAGTCGAAACACAAAGATGTTGAATTTTAGTTCTGTGATCTTGCCGTGCTGTCCATTGCTAATCATATAGGACTTTTATTGGCAAGAATTCCAGGAAAGAATATTTTTAAATAATTTATAGACTGAGATTGATTGTTTTAAATGTATGCCTCTAGGATTATAAACAGTTGAAATTATATTTAATCTGGGGCCTGCTCCATGGAGTAGGGTTGAAGCACTATTTGGGAAAAGCTGGATCCCACTTGGTGACCATGGTTCAAGTCCCAGGTATAGTCAGTCTAGAACACACCAGGCCCTCATGCGAGTACCTCAGATCTGTCTGCTGGAGGTCTGGTGGAGGGGATCACAGCATGTCTAAACCCTGTAGAGAGTGTTCCTCTTTCTTTTTTTTCTCTCTTAGTGTGCACACACTTCATCATGAAAGAGGAAAAAATTATATTTAATTTTTAATTTCCCATAATTTCCATATGTATATACAAAGAAAGAAGAGAGGAGTGAAGAGAAACATACCACGAAGGAATCATGAAAATAACATTTACACTTGTGGTAATATGATAGATTAGCTAACCTGAAAACACACCTGATGAAAAATACCTGTAAACATTGGGAAACTATGACAGTTATCCCTTTTAAAGCATAAGCTCCAAAAATAGAGGTAATTCTTCTGGACTAGAAATAATAAGAGATAATTATAAACTAGAGCAATAAACTTAACTTGATGTCGCAAATGTCTGTGGCTGATTTATGCCAGGAGCTTCGTTTTAATTCCAATACTGAGACCTAGGGTTCATGTGGAACTTTCTCACATAATGCTGGAACCCTCAAATGGAGATGACAGAAAAGTAGATTAGTAAAAAAAATTTTCTACTAGCTTATAGTAATGACATAGATACTTGTTTTCCTGAACTTGGTCTCAGGATGGAGTCACCCCTGAGACTTTATACATTGAAACCTGCTTATATTAGGTTTTGAAGCATGTATTTATGTTCCCTTCTCAGTCCATAACCACTAAACCCCAAATTAACAAAATGGTCCTGGGCTTATAAAACCTTTGAGGCACTCAACAAAAATATATCCAAAATAACCAAGGATGTGGGTCAGACTGTGGCATGGTGGGTAAAGTACCTGAATCCCATATGGTTAATAGCATGATTCAAGTCCCAGACCTAAGCTTGAAAATCCTGGGTGCATGAGCATAGATACCCAAAATTCCAAGAGGAGAATAGAGGAGAAGTAATTGTGGTGTGGCCATTGCCCCTAGATGGGTGCTTTCTCATTCCCTCCCCACCCCCAATGAGCCCAGGTGCCCTCTGGCAAATTTATAAATAAATAAATAAATTACCTAAGAGGCTATAGGGTTGCCATTGACAAAGCACTACTGCAGAGAAGCTCACAACCGCAGGTTAGAAGACACCTGTGTCCACAACCCACTATGAGTAAGAGTTAACAAATGTAACAGACAGGAAAAAGTTTCTTAGAGCCCCAAGAGCTTAAGTGTTTTCAGTATCCTGTAAGAAGGAAACAAAAAAATGAAAAAGAAAGATAATAAGGTACATTTTAAAAATAATCAAGTAGAATTTTTTTTGAGAGAGAGATTTTTGCAATAGGGTACATGTGCTCACCAAAGAGACAGAAAGCAAGAAATCAACCCCTAGGGATGATGGCCACGCTGCAATGTTTTCTCCTCCATTCTCCTCTCTGGATCTCGGGCACGCACACACATGCTATCAGCTGGTCCCCCAAAAATAATCAAGTACAACTTCTACAACTAAAACATATGGTTATTAAAAGGTAGATTGAGGAACCAGCAGGTGGCGTAATGGTTACATCACTGGACTCCCATGTAGTTGACCGCGGTTTGAATCCTGGACCCCGTGGCTTAAAACTCACACCAGGAGCATGTGCACATGTCCAGGATCCTGGGAGGAGAAGGAATTGCAGTGGGGCCATCCCCCTTTGGGGTTGATTCTTTGCTTTCTGTCTCTCTAGTGAGCACATGCCCTCCAATAGCAAAAATCTCTCTAGAAAAGAAAAAAGGTAGATCAGAGAAAATTACCCAGAATGTAGTGCTGGGGAACAGTTTATTTATAAAAACATGTTCAAGAACTCATGAAAGTGACTTCCAATAGAAAAAAAATTGTTTGAGTGACACTTACTTGTATCAGACCACACAGACAAGATTTTTAGAACAACTAAAGAGAAAAAAAGAGATTGATTAGAAATGATGCTGTTAAGATTGATTAGATGGTATACCAGTTAAGTCCCCAGACTCCTACATGGCCAACTGTGGTTCGTATCCTGAACCCAGTGGCTTCAAACTCATGCCTGTGAGTTTACACGTGTGTGCGTGCCCAAGATCCTGGGAGGACAACATTGGAGAAGGGATTGCCACATGGCCATCCCCTCTGGGGGATGATTTCTCACTTTCTGTCTCTTTGTTTCTCTGGTGAGCACATGTGCCCTATAGCAAAAATTTTCTCCCACTCCCCAGAAAAAGAAAAGAAACAAGCTTGACCTTAGAATCATTATTGGCAAAATAAATGCCTAAAGACAACAGAATAATGACTTAAAGATGTTTGAGACAAAAATAAATTGTAATCTATGTTTCCATATCTGACTAAATTCACTTTGAGAATGAGAGCAAAATTAAGGTATTTCTGGGAAAAAAATAAGTGAACCAGATGATATAATTCAAATGCATTTTTTAAAAGATTGTTTTTTATTCAACTTTATTATTATTATTATTTAATTTGACCCAGAGAAAGAGAGAGGGAAAATGAGAATACTAACTGCTAGATCTGGGACTCGAACCATGGTTAGCCATGTGGGAATCCACCACCCTCAACCATCATGCCACCTGCCAGCCTTGATACAGTTAAAATTCACATACATCTCTTGTTTAAAAGGTAATTACGGGAACATTTGAAAAATTCAGAAATAGGAAAGAAATATCTGGCAAATATCAAAAGAGAGTTGTTGTAACTATTAATATAGAAATGAAAAATGTCACTAATCCACAAGAAAGAGATCATCATTTAAAATTGTATGTATTAATACAGCTTCAAAATATACAAAACATAAATTATAATT